GCCAACACTTTTCATAACAACCCAAACTTAAATAGATAAATAAGATTTAAAACAATTTAGTAAAAAAGTAAAAATTAATACTATTAACTTTTAATAGTTTTATAAAAGAGAAAAGTATTATATAAATTTATTAATTTTAACTTTTTTAACTTTGAACTAATATGAAAATTCTAAATTTAAGAATGCTAATTTATTAGTTTGTTCATATTTGATCAAGCTGGTTATTTTTTTGCTTTAAGAAACTGAGAAGCAAAGAAAACAGAAAATAAAGACCATATTAAGTTTTGTTAAGAGAAATAGCTTTTGGTATTATTTATTATTTACTGGATTTAACTTTACCAATAAGCTTGAAAACCCAAGGTCTTATTTTTTCTTAGTAGTACTTATAAAAATATAAAAGGAATATAATTATATTTTCTTATATAAAGAATTTTAATAAAGAGGATCTTTACATAGTTATCTATTTTTTGAGTTTTTGTTACTCTAGTTTTAGTGAAATAATCAGGCCTAATAAAAAATTCACTATATTACAAGTAAATTTGCTATATCAATAACCCAAAATATAAGACCAGTTAAAATGCAATTATAGATATATTAAGTTATTGTTTTTAATCGGACTTTGTACTAAATAAAGACTTTAAGTATACTATGCAGTACTATATTTAATATTTCTGGAATAATATTACAGTATACTATTTCTATACCAAATTAATAGCATGTTGATAAAAGCAGTCAATATGAACATACTACTAGCTACTACTTGCAGTATCCCAAAATAATTCATATGATTAAAGCTTAGATATTACTTATCATTTTTACTAGCTGTTTTTTGTAAACTTAAAATATAATTATAGTATTAAGTTTTTTACACAGTTCTATAGATACTATTTAATTTTCAATATGAAATCTTTAAAAAAAATCTAGATACTATAAGCAGTGCCAATATTTTAACTATACAAAAGTAATAAAATTGATTTTATTATATATAAGTAAAATTTTAATCTTATATAAACTTTGTAAAGAAAACTGAATTTAGAAAATTTTTTCAATATGAATTCTAAAAAACCAAAATTTAATTAATATTTAAAATATAATAATAAATATACATATATATGTTTTATTTTATACTTACTATAATATTAAAAAAAGTGAAGCCAAAATATTCTTAACAATCTGACTTCCACTATAAAAAACCCATGTCATAGGTAGAATATTTTACACCCAATTGGTATACCTATAGCTATCAAACTCTAAAATTGACTTTTATTAGTATTTTATACTAAATAAATCATTATTAGAATTGCTGTAACAAACCATAAAAAAAAAAGAATGTTCTATAAAATAGGTGGGCAAACTCCGCAAACTCTGCAAACTCTGCAACTCTGCTAAATATTTATTAATGATTACTAATCATTAGTGGAGTTTATTTTATATATTGCCCACTTATTTTATAGAATATCCAAAAAAAAATTTCTGTAATTATTTGATATATTAAAATGAATTGGTTCAAATTGAAGATTCATAAAAGAAAAAACAAAGTATTCAATGAGTTATTGCAGATTATTACTCAGACTTAATTATATATATCACTGTAGTTAATATAATAGTTGTAAAAACTTGTCTAAGAATTTAATAATTATCAGACCATATGGATAACACACTAGTTAGAAAATTAGTTGGCAATTAATTGCAAATCTGATTAACTAAATAATTATAAGCTAAAATATATAAACCTTGTTTTTTTCAAATAGTTATAATTAATTATAAATTACACATGAATGCCAGTAAACTAAACATGATAATAAAATAAAGATATTTATTCTTCAGAGTTAAAGCTATTAATCCATTCTAGTAAACTTATAATTGTTAACTAATCTACAAAAGAAGGTATCTACTACAAACAAAAATTTAAAATTTAAAATAGCTTTTGTAATATTATTATCACCTTTAAACTATTCAAACTAATAATTATATTGTTATCTATATATATTCGGCTACTGATTATTGAATCAGAATTGAAAGATTTTTATATTACATAATTTATATGATTACTCAAAATTAAAAGTATTTTGCATTATGCAGTCTTGTAATTTGTGTATACAAAACTATTAAGTTTCAAAGCTATTCTACTCATGCAGTTTTCTATTATGCTAGTTTTAATTTTTTTATTTTTTATTTTTTAATCAATTCAGCAGTTATGCCTTTACTTTATTAGACTTTGTAATAATCATCTAGACTATTAAAATTTTAGAGAGACTTATCAGTGAGTAATAAACTCTGAACATGTTGGCAGATAGCGTATAAGAACTATCTCTAAACAATATATGCTGCGCCCGAGGGCCACACAACTATATCTAAATTACAAGTAAAAACTAACTCAGTTGCTTAATAAGTATTTATATTCGACCTGCTATAGTAGGATTCTCCTCTTTCCGGACCCCTCCTGCAATTGGATATGACCCAGCTTTTAACAAATGGTACCTATTGCCCATCATAACCACTTCTTCCTTTTTTTAGACTTCTTTCATCTAAGCCCGACAACAAAATTAAAACTCTTATTCATATATAAAATGAAAAAAATAATGCCATGTTTATAAGAGACATAAACATTTTAGAAAAAAAATACCTCACGGTGGGAAAAAAAACTTTTCAACAAATTCTAAAATAGTCTAACATAAATGAACCAAAATGAAAAAAGCAAAAAAAAATAAAGGTAGCTATGACATATTATTATAGCTCGTGCTAGGCATAAAGATAAAAATTATATAATAATTGCAATTAATTAATATATCTTGATTGTAAAATGTTGTCTTATCATAAAGGACTTGTTCCAGGCATCGACAAAACTCAGGTATCTTCTAAATAGGGGTACTGATTTTTTCTCTATACCATAGTACCATATTGATAAACAAAACAAACACGTGGTTGTATTCTACTAAGTACATCTGAATTAGGAAGGTATAAACATTGCCAATCTTTTAAAAGGAGTAAGCCCAAATGTCCACTTTTTTTCTAAAATTTTGGAGAGAACAGCAAAAGCGAGAAGGAGATAAAAAACCAAGAGGAAACACCAAAGAAATGTCTAACCAAGCCTGCACAGTACTAAGTTTTTTTAATGAATGATAAACTCTAAGCTTGTTGGCAAGTAGTATATGAGAACTACCTCTAAACAACAAGTGCCATGCCTATAATAGGTCCTTTTTCTCATGTTTCACGTTAAGGCTCCTTTCGAACCAAGCTATGATGTATGTTATTCCAAGGAAAGTTTTTAAATTTCTAGAGAGTGTCATTAGAAAAACCTATTTGTTGTTGTTCTTCTATTTTATTCTTTTGCATTACAAAAAGACCCCAACTTCTTATGAGTACCTTTTTTTCAGAATTTTGAAAGTAAGGGTGCCAACTCTTGCCAGTTATTTTGTTTCTTAATACTTCTGGTTTGCATGCCAAATATGTAAAGAAGTCTCCGGAATCAAAAGGTTGACCTTTACAAAAACTGCTCCATAGCGCTGTCTTCTCCTTTCCAACAAATTTTTGGTTTTTGTTTGGTGGGAAATTTTGGTTCAGGTGATCGTTAGAAAGAGTTGTGCTAGTTCTAATTAAGTTCTGTATATAAATCTGTTAATTCTATATTTAGATTAATCCTCAAAGTAATAAATCACTCCAAAATCAAAAATAACTATATTTAAATAGTCATTATTCTAATGTTATTTTACTCATGTAGTCTTTTATCATATCATGTTCCAATTAAGCTCTATATATAAATCTGTTAATCTTATACTTAGATTAATCATCAGAGTAATAGATCATTTCAAAAGTTAAAAATAAATGATTATTATTCCAAAGTTATTTTGCTTATACTGTTTATTATCATACTATGTTGGTGCTCTATTGAGTACTATTGCTCTAAATCAGTACTCTTTGGAGCCAAAAATAAATGGCAATAGAAGAGTTCTCTATTGAACTTTATTTTATTTGTGATAAACAATAAGTTAAAATTTTTCTTTCTTTTACTATTAATTTTTTTAAAATCTGTGTTTTGTTTTTTTTGCATATTCTTTTTTTTGTTTTTTTTTTTAATTAGTTTAATTTGTTTACTTTACAAATTCCTTTTTTTTTTATCTTATACCTCTTAAGAAGAAGGAAAAATCAAAAAAAAAAGGACTTAGTTCTAATAAATAGCTAAGTACTAGACTATAGTAGATTTTTAAATAGAGGTAATACTTTATATAAAACTTATTAGCAAATATCAGTGTAATAACCATATTTGGGCACTTTTTAAAAAAGCAGCCAGATAATGCCTAATTCATTGTTAAACTAGTTTAAACAAACTTAATGTTTTGTACAAGATTATCAAAAAAAATAAAATAAAAATTTATAATTTTTTAAAAAATAAAAACTTTTGCTATTTTTTACAAATTAAATATTTATTTTAAAAATAAATAAATTTTTAAATATTAACTTTGGTGTAAACTTTTATAGTTTACACTTGTTTTTACTATTATTTTTATTATTTTTTTTAAAAAATTATACATAATCTAAAAAATTTGTTCATATAAAAGTAATTATTATTTTTTTTTTTTTGTATAAATCAATTGTAAAAAAATATTAATAAATAGCATACTAATAAGTAAATAAATACAATCTACTCTATTAAAATTAGTATGCATAAATATTAGTTTTAAAAAGTTATTGATTTAAAAAACTAGTGTTTTTTAATAAACCCAATAGTCTTATAATTATAAATAAAAATAATTAATAAAATCATCAGCACTATCATTACACAAAATCTTATCTAAGTTAGCCAAATAATGTAAAAATTAATAAATCCATCTAGCAATCAGAAATAGTAGATAATTAGATATGAATTTTTGATCAATTGTTTTGGCGGAACAGTTTTGACAGGGTAGACTGTATTAAATTTCAAATACATAACAAACTCTACATTATACATCACCTTGTAATATAAATAATAAATAGATAAATAATAAGTAAATATTAAATTATTTTCGATTAGCCGTTGCTACTTTTTGTCCTTTTTGTACTTGTTCTAACGCAGCAATCATATCTTCATAATCATCTATATTTGATGATGCTCTACTTTCATTGTCCATTCCACTTGGCAATCTGTTCCATTTTCGATTAATATAACCGTCATCCTCAGGACTTAAATCGTCATAATTATTTCCCCACCGAGAATTTAAAGCAAGAAGTTCGTCATCGAGTTTATCTGTCATAGAACTAATTATGTTTGAATCTCTTGGACTAGATTTTATACCATCTTCAATCACACGATAATTGTCTACTGCATGTTCCATTTGATCAAGCAATAATGAAATTTTATTTTCTGATTCGTGTAATTTTTGTTCAAAATCTATATTTTCTCTTTCAAGTTTTTTATTTGTTTCATGAAGTTGTGCAATTTGTCTTTCTAATACACCTCGTTGTTCATCCCATCTCTCATGCTGTTTAAATTTAATGTTATTTGAAAGATTATCGCTCAAGTCATTAGTAAGTTGTCTATTTAAATGTTCATTCTCTTTTCTAAGTTGCTCTACTTTAATTGTAGAAGATGCAAGTTGTTCTTGAAATAACTTGTTTGATTGCTTTAAATCAATGTGATCTTTTTGCATTGTTTTGAATTCTTTGCGTAAAGCTTCATATGAGATATCCACCATTTTCTTTTCTTCCCGTGCGTGGTCAATTTGTACAATAAGTTCTTTCATTTTTTGTTGCACTTCAGTCATTTCTTGACCAAATTCTTCTTTCTGAACTTCAAGTTGTTTATTGGTGAATTCCTGAATTCTTGATTCACGAACGCCTGTGCGGACAGATACTTGATTTTGAACCTCTGAAACCTTTTCTTCTAATTCTTCATTTCGTTCCTGAGCAATCTTCAATTGTTTTTGTAACTTATCTGAATCGCTTTTACTTTTTTGCAATTCATCTTTTAGTCGCCTTAACATCTTTTCCGTTCCTTGCACATAATGCATTGCAGTGTTATAATCTGATTCTACTTTCGCTAGTTTATCTTGGGCTAATTGAAGTTTTTGTTGAGTTTCAGAGAATTTTAATTCAGCTTCTCTCATTTCATTTTCATTATTCTTGGAAGATGATGAATCTTGGTTGAGAGACCTATTATTGACACGCTTAAGCTCATCTTCTAGAAGTTTCTTTTTATCTTCTTCATGTTGCGCCCTTTGTTCTAATTCTTCACATCGTGATAAAAGTTCTTTATATTGAGAAGATAATGTTCCTTGACTTGTAACATCTTCTAGTATACCTCTCTCAACCATTACATCTCTCATCATTCCAACCTTGATTTCAGCATCTTCAAGAGCACACGTTTTTTCATCTAATGTACGTTCTTTTTCACGTAATCTTCCTTTTGTTCGTATTACTTCATCAGAAGATTCTGCTAATCGTCGCTGCAGCATTGCAGTTTCCGAACGTGCTTTAGTAAGTGAAGATTCCAATTGTACAATCTTATCCATAGAATTTGCAAGTGATATTGAAGCTTTGTCTGCTGATTCTTTTGTTTCCGCATTTATATTTTTTAATGTTTCTATTTCTTGTTCAAGATGAATTACTTGGCTAGAAATTCTAGTTGGGACAGATAAATCTTCATTAGTTCGAGAATTGCTCAATAATTTAGTCATTCCATCTTTCATCATATCTCGAACAGCGTCCCGTTCTTGTCGAGTCTTATCTAATAATCGTTCCATCTCTGCAGCTCTAGCACTAGCACGATCTAAATCTCTCATTTTAAGGTCCAACTCAGATCGTAATCCGGCTGCTTCTTTCTCAAGATTTGATATATCCTGACGTGCCTGTCTCCATAAACTTTCAGCTTCACTAGCGCGTTCATTCGCAGCTGCAATAGCGACATTCGCTTTTTCAAGAGCGCGTTGATGTTGTTCAATGGATTGTTGTAAAGATTGTATTTGTGATTGATTATTTCCACGAGTACGAGTCAACTCCAAAGTTACTTCTGATAATTGACTTTTTGTCTCACGATGTTGGGATTCAGCAGCGGTGGCACGTGAATGAAGAGTTGCTAATTCTGCCAAGGCTCGTGCATGAGCTTCTTCAGCTTCTTCAGCACGTGAAGTAGCCATTCTTGCACGTTCTTCAGCTGCCTCTCGAGAGTTTTTATCATAGTTTGAACTTTGTTGTAATTGAATAAGTTGATTTTGAACAGCCTCTTTTTCAGTTAGAGCTCGTGTCAAACGTTTCTCCAACTCTGTTGCCCTTTCAACCTCAAGGATTTTAAGATCATGTTCTGCTGAATTTGTTAAGGCCGAAAGTTTTGCTTTGAAATAAGCAGCTTCTTGTAAAGCAGCAGTACGAACTCTTTCAGAATCTGTAATTTTTTGTGATGCAATTTGGGCTTGATTTGCGATAGTTGCCTATATAAATGTCAAATAATTAAAAAATATGTAAAATAATTTAATTTTATTACTATAATCAAGCAAAAGTTTCTAAATACCTTTGCTTTTCTTAATTCTTGTTTAATTTTTGTAATTGCTTCTATTATTTTATATTTTTCAGATCCAAACTCAGAAATGTCCATCAAATTATCGATATCAATACCATCAGGTACCCCACCATCAACATCTACTTCCGGCGTGTACCCCGCTTTTCTCGCTAACGCTAGTTCAGCCCTGAGCCACATCTCACGTTTCTTGAATGTAGCAATACTCGTATCTCTCTCCTGTAGTTCATTCATAAAATCACCATTTTCTGAATTCATTATGCGTGCGAACGAATGATCAACGGCATCAGATGTTGGGGAGCGCATGTCCATTGAACTCATTGTAGATGTTGGCGATGAAATAGAACTACCATCGTGAGGTAATTGGCCTTGTGGTAACGTACTCGTACTACTAAACGCTGGTGAAACAGATCCTTTGAGGTTAGGACTATGATTATGTAGAATGGGTGAAGTCGAACCAGGCTGGGGAGCTGGACGTGGATTAGTAAAATCACCGTGGCGAAATCCATTACTTTGGTACACTTGTAAATTCGGGTTGTTATCTAATTGTTGCACACCATAATTAAGGTTATCGATATGTTGTGAAGGTAGTTGTTGAGGACCATTAGGTGATGGATTCATCTGCAACCTTTCCATACTCTGTTTAGGTTGAATTTGTCGAATGCCACCAGCAGGTGATGGAGATTGTTTTCGATGGTTATTTACTCGGTCCATATGCATTACTTGTTCTGGAGTAGATACTCTACTATTATCAATGTCAATTTGTGCGTTGGGACCGCCTACTCGCGGTGAAGTATTTACAGAACGATTTGGAGGAGTATTAGGGCTACGCGGATATCCTTGTGGGTTCGCTTTTTGTGAAGAATTTAAAAATTATATTTTTAGATTTGCAAAATATTAATATTATATCTATATAATATATCAATAATATAATAAAAATATTATAAGAATTTATAAAATTTTTAATACTATTATTATAATATTTAAATAATTTTATAAGTTTAATGTAACTCTATTTTTAATATATGATAAAAATATGGTTATAAAATATATTATTATATATTAATAATATAATTAATATATAATAAAAATATAATAAATATATTATTAATTTAAAAATATAATAATTATATCATTATTATATATTAGTAATCTAATAATCATATTTATCATATTTTTAAAAAATAAAAGTTTCTGTAAAGTAGTTTTTAGCATTTGATTTAGTTTACCTAATGTCGGAATATTTGTTGGTGAGGGTGTTGATCGATTATGTTCTGTCGTCGGAGGTAATGGAAAGCCTGTATACTGTTGAAACTCTTGTTGAGTTCTTGGCACAGCTATTTGTTGCTGTTGAAACTCTTGCTGACTTCTTTGTGCAGCTGTTTGCTGCTGCTGTTGATACTCTTGCTGACTTCTTTGTGCTGCTGTTTGCTGCTGTTGAAACTCTTGCTGACTTCTTTGTGCAGCTGTTTGTTGTTGTTGTTGTTGTTGAGGATGTCCCTGTTGCACCTGTTGTGGATTGGCGGTCTGTGTGATCGGAGGATATTTTATTTTAGCTATTTAAAGAATTTAAAATAGGAATTAGTGAATTCGTTTTTTTTTTAAAAAAAAAAAAAAAAAAAAATTTGATATAATAATTACATGTGTCCAGTATGTGAACTATGCTGTCTTCATCTGGTCTCAATCCTTGCGTGGACGTGGATTCACCACCAAGAACTAAAACTTTTTCTTGTATCGTGGTCATTGTGAGATGAAATCTTGGATTTGGCGTAGGACCCATTTTTTGAAACATATACCATCTTTGATCTGAAAATTATGCGGAATTATTTATAAAATAAAAATAATAATTTATTATTATCATTAAACTATTTTCTTACTTACTACTTATCCTAAATGCAGTCAAATCGCCTAATTCTTGACCATCTTGCGTCATACCGCCAAATACATACATAACATCATCCACAATGGCAGCACCATGAAACTTCCGAGCAGATGGAATAAAGCCGATGCAAGATAATTCTGACCACGTATTAGTGCGCGGATCAAAACACCACATATCATTAAAACATCTATGCGCGTCATTTCCACCAAACCTGTTGAAAGAAATTTGAACAGTTAAAAAAATAATAATAATAATAATTATAATAATAATAGTGAAATGGTTTAAAATAAAGCTTACATATAAATTTTATCATTATGCACGCATGTTATATGAGCCATTCTTCCCGGAGGAAGTTGGCTTGTTGGAGTAATGAATTCCCAACCAGCACCGCTTGAATTGTCTGTATACATAAATGAGTAAATAAATATATGCAATTACACTAAAAAATATAAAGCTACGGGAACATTTATAGAACTCACACGAATTCACATCAAATGCCAACAGTTCATTTAAATAGTATCCATCGAACCGGCCACCGAATATATACATTTTTGATCCGATAACAGCCGTAGAATGCCCATATCGACCAATTGGTGCAGTACCGCTTACAGAAATTCTACTCCATCTTTTTGTTGCTATAGTAAAAAAAAATAAGGTGAATTATTCTAAGAAAGTAAGCTTTTTTTTTTCTTTTTCTTACCTAGGTCAAGCATGTAAAGGTTATCATCAAGTCTTTGGTCTGAATATTGAGGATCCTGAGTTAATCCACCATAAACTAAAATATTAAAAGTTCAGAGATTGAGTACTGATCTAACAACTATCAATTATCATAGGTTGAAGATATAATATTACCATATAGTTTTGATCCAATTTCTGCATGTGTATGCCAACTTCGAGGTGAAGGAATATCACCAGCAGTTGAGATACTTTGAACATTTAGTGTGCCTAATGTTTTTAAATGTATATATATATAAATAAAAAGGAAGTTCTGATAAATTCGGTTGAAATAAAATTAAAAGTGACATACTAATTTCAATAGAAAAAATATCATTTCTAGCTTTTCCCAGATTAGCACCGCCAAAAATAAGTAAGTCATTGGCAGAAGCCATTTTTGATGCAGAGTGTCCATATCGAGGAAATGGGTTGGTAAGACATAATTTTCTTTGAGACCAAGGATAAGAAGATCCAGCCTTTTTACGTTTGCCTTGACTCATGTTTTAAAAATCTGCGATTACAAAATAAGAGTTTGGTTTGCAGGCATTAAACTGACGAGAAAAAAATTATTCTAAAGAATGTTATTTTCAGAATCAAGTAAAGTCTCGTTGTGAAATGTTGATTGTGTGATGTATGGTGTGTTTTATATAAAGAAGGTTTTCAAGAGTATCGAGTATGTATTGCATATAGAGCAAATATGGTAATTAATTTATAAGATCACGTACAATTTAGCATATAAAATTGTAACAAGAGCATCCAGTAAGACAGAGACAGTAAGATCCGGTAACTCTTGGTATGCAGTACGGTTCCAAATTTGAAATTTAGTGATTGTCACGTGACAAATTTAAACAGATGTTTATGTAAAGCACCTGTAAAATTTTTTATCATGGTGAAACAATAATTATCGAAAATTTTTAATGCATTCTGTTACTTGTAATTGCTTCAATACGTTATGCGCATCATAAAAATAATGAAGTCAGTTCAAATTATTAGTTTGACCACGTGACAGTCATTCTATACTCGCACAATACGGTCGACTTTCTCTATGTAATTTATATATATAGAAATTCCGGACGGATGACTGTACGTATGGATAACTAAAAAAAGGAGAAATCATCCTTAATCAATATACTTTTGACTCATGAACGATTCATGAACAATTAAACCTTTCCATAACACTTTATGGAGAGCAATTTAACGGATTTGCGACAAATTTAAAAAAGAACTTTTTATTCGTAGCAAGATTGCTTCACTTCTAAGAGAAAAGCTGGAACTCTGGCTACGAATGGTCACCCATAATACTGCATTTCAATTTGCCGATTAATTATTGTAAAAAAAGCGATAGAAGGAATTTCATTAAACTTCGTTATTAGAAGAGCTTGAAACTTAATAATTCTAAAGATAAACCAAGTTAAAGATTAAGTTTTATTACAAACACCATACAAACTTTACGACTAATATTGTACATAATTCATATAATAGCAGATAGTATAGAGATCGCTGTTGCTGGAGCTTAGTACAAATTATAGCGATAGAGACACAATGCATAATAGATAATTTGCAGGTCACGAAACAAAAATCTATTGGTGTTTCGTTAAAACTACAGTATAATTAATTCTTTCAGTGGACTTACAGAATTTGAACAACGAAAATTTTGGGTTACAGATCGACTGACTCTCCTCCGTCTGTGCATCTAATTCATAGATCAAATACAGTAAATGTCATCGGATTATCTTGTGAAAATAATAAAGAATCCAAACTGAAACTTATGTAAACTCTTCATGTTAGAAACTTATTACATCACCTTAATTAAACACGCTACATATTGTAAATACATACAGTACAGTACAGTACGTACGTATGTACCTACCTATTGTTTAATTTATTTATTGCTTTTTTGCCCGTGAGCATGAAACCTAATATGTATTAGTAGAATTTGTTTAATTTGTTTAATTGCTCAAAAAGTGTACTTTCTTATGCATGCTTGCTAAATTAATGCGCCAAGTATTATAATGCATAACTCTAAATTATTTTTAGATTTCAAATAACTAAAAAATTTAATATATATATATATACTTATATATATACTGTATATTAAAAAACAATCTGAATACTCCTAGCAAAATTCCTGGATATTTTATAGAGAGGCATTATACTACTTTGGCGAACGGAATACGGTAGTCTGTAGCTATAGTAATAGATCATATATGTATATATACCGATACAGTATATATTAAAATTGAGTGCTTGATTGGGAGGGTGATACAAGTGTGACAAAACTGAAATAGTAAGAAAAGTGCAACAATCTAGAATAAAGAATTGGTTTTAAGACTTTTGATTAATTGTTATATAATTGTTTTAGTTATCTTTTTTTGTTACTAAACAGATAATACTGTACAATATATATTGTAAAAGTACTGTAGTACTAAAACAGTAAAATACTATATACAGTATAACTAAGTATAATAACCAGAGTCAAATATCTAATGTTTCTAGTATTCCCAAGAAGGTTACGTATCACTTCACAGAAGTTTATTTCACAGACACCTTGTTTCAAGTTAAAGATTGCCTACGAACTGTCTATGAAATGAACTGCCTGTAAACTAATTATCTTTAAAATAAATTTGTCTATGAACTGATTGTCTAATAAACTTCTATGAAGTGATACGTAACCGTACGTATATACTATATATATATAACTTCTAGTTTTTTTAATGCAAATTTATAATTATGAATTATTTTTACACAATTTACAGTAGAACATTCTTTTAATCATAATACAAATAGTTAAACTCTTTATACTGTAGTTACTCTTTTAAGATACAGCTAGAATTATTAATGTATTCGAATGAATCCTCGTTGTTTATTTTCTGACCAACCAATTGAAAATTATCTATATTATAAACAACCAAAATTTGCTAACACACAGACATTGGTGTATTATTGCTCCGTCTGTAATATCCTTCGGGCAAAAATTGTAAATTACTAGGAAAATAAAAAAAGCTATTAAATAAAGGTCCGGAGAAATTCGAATTAAAAAAATTAGAAAATGTTCTACATTATAAATTAAACGACCAATCAAATTTCAGAATTTGCTAACACACAATCTAAATAAACTATTATACGTATATATTTAATTAAATAAATATCATACGTACGTAAATATTTTTTATTAAATTTGATCAAGAAATTATTAAGAGAATTTCTAATTGGATAGGACCAATGAAATTCGTGAATTAATAGCTCACGTGTTACACTGCAGTTGGTGTAGCTAGACATTTTTATTACTGTATATGCTATAATAAATTATATACCCGAATAATTGGGTAATTAATAATACCCGGGTAGAGATTTCTTGACAGGTACAATCTCTATATAGACCTTAGCGCGCATACTTTGCTTTGGACCTTATCAGATCCTGATTTCCTAGTTATAAAACAGCTTTTGGAATTCTAACAAAAAATATTTCTTGCGAAATTTTAACATAAACTATAATTATTCCCTAACTTTACCCTAATCTTAATAAACTAAATTATTTTCATCTTATAATTTATATATTACATGAAGTTGTAAATCAATTAATTAATAATATATATCCGTGTATAAACACTATACAAATATAAATTAATAAACCCTTTAAACATAAACACTAGGTACCGCTACGTGTAAACTAATAAAATTTCAATACGAAACCAATTATATTTATTGTCGCGGATGATCATATTAATGCATCTGATTGGTTAGGGTTATGATCAACGAATTTCACGATCATCCGGACATTTATTACCCGGGTTGCCGGGTCGTTTTTAACATTTTATGTATGAAACCCAAAAAATTTAACTTAAACACATAATGTGCAATAATTCTAGCCAAAGTAAAATTGGTATTTTTTATATAACGTGATAAAAATACATGAAACCTGATTTACCAAAATGTATTATGATTGTAACTTTTGTCTATCAAAGCACTATGAGCAGTGCTGAGCTTAAAACTTCTTAATTAAAATCATATGATCACAAAACCCCGAGCTTAATGAGTTTGGTTTCGAACTGAGTTTTGACAAGTAGGATAATATCCCTAGCGCTAGTTTTTGTGTCAATTAGTGTTTGAAACCGGATTAATCGGATATCCGGATTGAAGTCATCACCAGGGCGGATCAATCCGTCGGATGATTATAATTAATTGGTTCTGTAGTTGTAAAACCCATCGTTTTATTACATAAATTCTGGGACAAAGAAAAAATTTTTTTGACCGAATTCGATAAGTTTCTGAGTTCGGCCGAAGTCAGTTACCCGATTCTGTAACTTATCGAATTCGGTCATCAAAATTTTTCAGTTGTCCCAGAATTTATGAGAACAACTGTAAATCATATTCGGAAAATTGTACATACGTATGGTGCAAGAAATAAAAAACCTCGAGTTCGGGAATTTTACAAATTTACAGCTATTATCATAACATCTGATAAATTAGCCGAGGCCGGTTCGATTAAGTTTATGAATTCGGCATGATCAGTATAATAAAAGTTATTTATTCATTTCAAATGATTGAACACACCCCAGTGCTAAATGAAAGGATCACCCCTAATAAACTTAATTCATTCTTTCTGAAATTTTTTTTTCAACTATTTGCCAGGAAAATGCTTTGAAAGTAGCCTGATCTTAAATTACGTATATGAGTGGCGTCAAGTAAAACCCTGTTATCGGACTTTCAATTATATTTGCATCGGACAAAATCTAATATGTTAGGAATTGTGTCCAGTACAATATATAATTGAAAGCCCGATAATAAGTTTATCCCTTGGCAGATTGAATTTATTTCCAAAAATCACAAACTTAACCGTTCGGCCAATTTAGCTGTAAAGTATAATATTACAAATTGAAATATCGCATACATTTGAATATCTTGATTAAACTGAAATCTGGATTAAACATTAACTCCATTTGGACAAATTCAACTAAAAGGACCAGTAAACAGATACAAGATCATGCCTAAAGTAATATGCACGATGCATTGATACTGTATTAGGACTGAATGAAAAATCAAATGTGAAAAAATAACTAATATCCCCTTGAATATTCTAATTAAGATTGTGTATATTTCTAAAATGAATCATTACAAGAAATAAGTTTATATAATCCAAATGCAGATAATCTGTATTTTTTTATTATCCGTTAAGATTTTTGAACGGACACATCGCATTAACCAATCAAATTGCAGTATTGGATTTGGATTTTTATATTTTTTACAGCCAATAGAATTGCCCTCCCCCACTCTTATGAGCTATTTAATTATAAGTTATTGTTCATGTGATATGATCATGTAAAATTTTTTGCCTTGATATTTTTGTCATAAAATGACATCATCATTTAT